CAACAGGGATATCAGAGCTTGGGATGGTAGGCTTTTTTGTATAGGGGTGTTGATGCTTGGAAGTAATGGTAAAATCACAGATTTTTTGAGTGTGGTAAAATGGCCCATGAGGAATTTGTGACTTACTGAAATCCCCGAAGCCATTTAGTGGCCAAATGGTCACTAAAACCAGGTCTCTTAGTGCCAAGTCTAGCCTTCTTTTCTCTTTCGAATTAGGAAGCTTGTTTGCATGGTTTTGACAAATGAGCTCTTTGTATGAGATAGCAGTATATTCAGCCTTGGGTTAAAGCACTTTCTCTTCCATTTGTTTTTGTCCTTTTGATTAATGTTACTTTGGATAATTAAATTAAACATTTTAATTTCTGATAGTGGAACCCAGTGACTGCATAAATGTTTTTGTAATTGGTTCTCTGAGGCACAGGACCTTAAAGATATGAAAATAGCCAAGACATTTTACCAGTGGTAGTTTTTCTATGTTGTTTTGGAATTAGGATTCTTAAATTTGTAAAAATATTTATTTATTTTTGAGAGAGAGAGAGAGAGAGAAAGAGCGTGAGCAGGGAAGGGGTAGAGAGAGAGAGACACACAGAATCTGAAGCAGGCTCCAGCTGTGCTAACAGCTCAGAGCCCAATGTGGGGCTTGAACTCATGAACCATGAAATCATGACCTGAACTGAAGTCAGATGCTTAACCGACTGAGCTACCTAGGTGCCCCAAGGAATTATGATTCTTTAGGTCGCACCCAAATCATCAGAAAGAAGAAGGATCTAAAAAGAGACCAGTACTGGGCCAAGAAGGACTTTTCTGACCCGTAGTGTGTTGCTTGTTGGCATACATGTTCTATACCTCATTAACATTGAGCAGCCAGGGGGTGTGTAGGAATTGTGGGAGAGGGGTGGCAGTAGACGACTAATTCCAGGTGAATATATGGCTGAACCATTTCCTTCATGTGATATTGTCCCAGAAGAAAACTTAAGTGGTCTGGATTGGCCTTCCATTTTTCTTTGGGTGTATCAACTGAGACTGATGATTTAGGTTCACTATTTACATGAGGAGCTGATGCTGTTTGCCACATCCTGTTGTCACAGGGTAGTGTAGTGTTTTCCCAACTAGTTAGAAAAGGCCTGACTCGCTTAGCCAGTGATTTCCCTACAGAACAGATGGGGAGCAAGTGGAAGAGAAGTATTGGTCCAGGAGACATGAAGCAGTCTATAATGTGGAGTAGAGTCAGGAAGTCTGCAAAAGGTCAGCTGTGGAGAGTCTGTCCTTCTGAAGGGAACAAACAGCCTGTCCTGTCACGCGTACCAGGAGGGCGAGCCTGCTTGCTGCAGAGTTCTGAGCCTTTGTGATTACAACCTGACCTTCTTGCTGAATGAATTTCGTAGTAATGGTTGCACGAAGATGTTCAAAGAGGATGTCTTCAGTATGCTGGGGGAAGGGTTTTGTGCCTCGGGCATGCTTTTCGAGTGGCCTTGTGCTTAATTTGGCTTCTTCTTCAGGGACTCTCTGCTATGTGAATCTCCAGAAATTCCATCAAGGTGGCCCACTAGGTCCCGTGCCGATGGACCCCACCAGGCCCGAGGACACTTCTCACGTGCTCATTTTTTTGCAGCTTGATATCTTTTCTCACTGATATTTCTATTTTCTGCTTGATGACATCTAATATTCATGGTAATGTCCTCAAAGTGTTCACAAAGACTTCAGTATTTTTGGTGTGAATGAGACATATTTTATGAAAATGAGCGATCCTTACATGGCCCGTGTATATTCCACGTAAGCACACTGTGTGGTAAAATTCTGTATTAGGATAACTCAGTCCTGAGTTTCAGAGTTAGAAAGGATCTTAAAGTCTGTCTGGAATTCTAGATCCCTGTTCATCTAGATCATTTGTGGTCTCTCACCTGTTGGGATGCAGACCTCACTGCCCCAGGGGACAGCGACTCTTGTGGAATAATTTTGCGGTCTTCATCATATTGAACCTACATCTGCCTCCCTCTAGTTCTGGCCTTTTTTAGCCCTAGTTCTGCTTTCTTTGATCACCCAGAATGTCTATCCCTTCTCCTACATGGGAGTCCTTCAAATGTGTCTCCTTCCCTCAGGGTCGAGTTTCTTCTCTCACCATTTCTCACAGAAAATGTTTTAATTTCCTCTCTCTCTGGTTGCTGTCCTCAGGCTCTGTTTCCTTGGATCCCTAGCCTTCCTTTTACGGTGCATGGTCTGGAATGAATGCAAGACTTAAGCCATGAGTAGGCCAGTTACCCAGGCAGACTGGTCCTAATGGAAGTGGCACAAGCTTGGCCATCAGACACACTTGGGCTCAGAAACCAGTTCTGCCACATGCTGGTGTGTGACCCGTGTGCTGTTTTCTGGTTTTTGATCCTCGAGTTTGTTCATCTTGTAAAATGAGGACAATAATTTCTTCATCCAACGGGAATTGTGAGCGATAAACGGATGACGTGTTTGAAGAATTGAACATCAGTTGATGGCATATAATCTGTTCTTAGTGGGTTTTTTTCCCTCATTGTTTTTGGGTTTTAAATTTTTGTTAATTCAGGACAGTACTATATAAGGTTTTTGGTGGCCATGCCTTCGTTCTTGTCTCACACTGAACTTGCAGTGATTGTGAAATCATGTGGTGAAGAATTTCTCTCCTCTCTGGTTGAAAATGTGTAACAAGTGGGACACGCGGCTGGCTCAGTCAGTGGACCGTGTGACTCTTGATCTCAGGGTCATGAGTTAAGCCCCATGTTGGGCATAGACATTACTTAAATAAATAAAAAGTTTTTTGAGGGAGGACCCAAGTGAGTGAGAGTGGGGGAGGAGAGAGAGAACTGAGGCTCACCCAAAGTGGGGCTCCTGTTCATCTGGAGGGGGGGCTTGAGCTCACCCAATGTGGGACTCGAACTCACGGACTGGGAGATCATGACCTGAGCTGAAATCAGATGCTTAACTGACTGAGCCACCCAGGCAGCCATAAATAAATTAATTTTTAAAAAAAATGTGTAACAAGTATCTCATGGAGATAACAACACCTGCCTCATAGGATTGATCTTTAGAATAAATGAAATGAGATTATATGTGTAAAGCATGTGGCATAGTATTTTTAATTTAATTTGATTTTTTTAAAGTAAGCTCTGTGCCCAGTGTGGGGCTTGAACTCACGACCCCAAGGTCAAGAGTCACACGCTCCTCCCACTGAGCCAGCCAAGCACCCCTTTGTGGCACAATATTTAAATATGGTACAGCAAAGAAGCTAGCTGTGATCTTTATTACTGCTAGTTATACTGTTTTACTGCAAATTGATTTTAATGGTATTTACTTCTCTAAGGTCAATATTTTGATATAAAGAAAATGTGACATATTCAATGAAAAAGCTTATTTGAGGAGCTAAGAGAGAAAGAAATCATTTCAGCTAGAGAGAACGAGCTTATGTAAAGGGTTAGTATGAACTTTGTATCCTGTCAGTAAAACTTAGCTCCCTGGGGCACTTGACTTTAGTTATGCACTGGACATCAGTGCTTTCTTCTACGAATTGACATAAGTTAGATTTTAATCTCAAGAAAGTCCGTTTCGCCCAGATAAGGCAGATAAGATAGTGGCTTGGATATTTCTTAGCATGCTCTGTGTCCTGTCCCGGGCCCAGCAGAGAAAGGCTGGACTGATGTCAGATTCACAGACAAGCAGCTGCTGACCATCTTTCCTCAGTGCTGCAAAGATGCCATTTTGATTACACATTTTGATTTTGGTATCACCCAATCCCACAGCAGGAAATTAATGACCAAAGTGTTACCTCCTACACTTCCGTAGCTGTCATTTTGACACCCTGCTTATTCTCTGCCTCCCTCTTTTAAGTAAACTTTTTATTGTAGCATAGTTTTAGATTTACAGAAAAATTGTGAAGGTAGAATTCACATATACCCCACACCCCATTTCCTCTGTTACTATTATCTTGCATTAAAAGGACACATTTTTCACAGTGAGTGAACCAGTATTTGTACCATATTATGAACAAAAAAGTTTGTACTTTATTCAGGTTTCTTACTTTCTGCCCAATGACCTTTTTCTGTCCCAGGATCCCACACAGGATCCCACATGCCATTTAATACTGTCTTCTTAGGCTCCTCTTAGTTTTGAGTTTTCTCTGCCCTATTTTTCAACCTGCTTTGAACTACTTTTCAAGAGATGCTCTTTTACATTTTGATAAATGCCTGATGGTGGGTCTTAATAGGGCTGTTAATTTTTCTCCTTAATCCTTCAACAAACATTTATAAAGCACATGCAAGATGAGGTGATGGAACCCTGGACAGAATGAAGGTAAATTGCCTTCCCTCATCATCCTGCGGGAGTCCCTGGAGAATTTGTTAAATGCAGATTCTGGTTCAGTAGTTCCAGGGCACGGCCTGAGAGTCTGCATTCTTTTTTTTAACATTTATTTATTTTTGAGAGACAGAGCGAGACAGAGTTCGAGTCGGGTAGGGGCGGGGGGTGGGGATACAGAATCCCAAGCAGGCTCCAGGCTCTGAGCTGTCAGCACAGAGCCCAATGCAGGGCTCGAACTCACAGACCGTGAGATCATGACCTGAGTCAAAGTCAGATGCTTAACCGACTGAGCCTTCCAGGCGCCCCCGAGAATCTACATTTTTAACAGGCTCTTAGGTGTGCCCATACGCTGAGACCATACATGAGGATCAGGACCCCACACTTGTGGATAGATAAATTGTCCAAGTCAGTCTCTGCCACCAAGAAGCTTGTGATTCTGTTTGGGGAGTGGGGGGAAGACTGAACAAAGAAAGGAATAAAAAGTAAAGTGCGAAATAGAGGCAATAGATGGTAGACACTTCACACCATTAAGACGGCCATTGTAAAAAAACAAATCAATCCAAAGCAACAGAAAATAAATGGTGAGGATGTAGAGAAACTGGAAGTTTTGTGCATTGCTTGCAGGAATGTAAAATGGTGCAGCTGCTGGGGAAGATGGTGTAGCAGTTCCTCAAAAATTGAAATATAGAATCACCCTATGATTCAGCAATTCCGCTTCTGGGTATGTGCCCAAAAGAGCTGAAAGCAAGGACTTGAACAGGTAGGTGTTTGTACATCCATGTTCATAGCAGCCTTGTTCACAACAGCTGGAAGGTGGGAGCAGCCCAAGTGTCTATCAGCAGTTGAGTGGAGAAACAAAATGAGGTGTGCACATACACTGTAATATTATTCAGCTCTAAACTGGAAGGAAATTCTGACATAGGCTGCAACATGGGTAACATTTAAGGACATTATGCTCAGTGAAATAAGCCAGCCATAAGAGGACAAATACTGCAAGATTCCACTTGCATGCAGTCTCTTTAGGAGTCAAATTCAGAGACAGAAGGTAGAATGCTGGCTGCCTGGGCCTGGGAAGGCAGAGGGAATAGTTTCATGGGTACCGAGTTTCAGTTTAGAAGATGAAGAAGTTCCTGAAATAGACAGTGGTGGTGGTTTCATACCAGTGTGAATGTAATTAATGCCACTGAACTGTATACTTAAAAACGTTGACAAGAAAATAGTCACCAGGAAAAAAGTGTGTAACTGTGTGGTAGTACATGTTAACTAGACTTCTTGTGGTGACCATTTTGCAATATGTATACAAACATCAAGTCTTTATGTTGGACAACTGAAACTAGTATGTGTCAGTTATATTTTGATTCTAAAAATGATAAAATTTTATGTTATGTGTATTTTGCCATCATTTAAAAATGATTTAAAAAGGCATGTGCACAAGAAGAATAATAGATGGTGAAGTTGTCAGGTGAGAAAGATGCATTGAGGACAGTCAGGCCTCATTCGTGGGCCACACGCGATGTGCCAGGGACAAAGTGCTTACTAACTCCGTTAGCCTACAGCCACCACCCCAGGAAGCTTATTAGCCTTGCTGATAGATCTCCAAACCAAGAAAAGGAAGAGATTACTGAGGGCTGTATGTAACAGAGAAGTCTTCAAGATGTTGATGGAATTTGGAGGAGAGACAGGATTTTGGTGGAAAGAAGTTGGGGGACATTCTAGATGGGAGTGTCAAGCCGAAGTGTTTCCAGAGCCAGCAGCCAGCATCAATGGAAGTGGCTTAGTGCAAGGTGGCAGGGAGTGGTGGAGACTACGGAATACTGATCAGACCACATCTCACCTAAGACATTCAGATTTCCTACATAAACCCAGAGCAGTGTGGGCCACTGTTGGGCTTTCAGACAAGTGTTAGGTAATATTGAATGAACTTCTCGATGTGAGGCCCCCACATCCCTGAAGGTATGTAGGGTGATGTCAAGGACATGCAAGACCACGTGACACACGAGGCACATCTTTTTGGCTGAGTCAACAGTACTAGAAGATTGTGGGTAAAAATTAATGCAGTTGTGTTAAGTAAAGATATTTTTATGTTATGACAAAGGCAGATGGAATACATTAGAATACTAATGTAGCTAACCAGTTATTATGTTCCAAGGTTTTAAAATACATTCTATCGATGAAAATAATGTGAAGCGAATACTAACTGAACACTCACTATGTGCCAGGTGCCATTCTGAGCAATTTGCATGTATTATCTCCTTTGATCCTTGTCACAGACCACATGATCAGTATTGTTACTACTCCTATTTACAGATGAGGAAATGGAGGTGTGAAGAGGTGACTCTGGCAGAAATCTAGGTCACAATGGTCGCCACAGTTGTACTTAAAATGAACTCGTGAGTTTCCTCAAAGTTATGCTTAAATTCTTTTTTCAAATCAAGAGTAATTTAACTAGTGGCCACTAGATGTCACTACCGAGTGCTTAAAACAACAACAACAACAACAAAAACCCAGACCAGGAACCCCGTGACTTGAAGAAAACAGGAAAAAAAAAAAAAAAAACCACACCCCAAAAAACATAGCCACTGATATATATGGTATTCCTGTTGGAAAATGCCAACCTGACCTGGTTGCCATAGCACTTCTGTTTCCTTCCCTTCTGCCCTCAGTCCAGCCCAGTTGGATGGGTGCTTCGGATCCCAACCCCGGTGAGCTGTATAATTTCAGGAGAACAGAAGAGACTCTCACTTCATAACTCAGTTCCTCCCGCATGGACTGGCAGCTCCACTGAGGATGAGCTTGAAGGTTTTGGTTGTTGGGATGTGTGTGTGTGTGTGTGTGTGTGTGTGTGTATGTGTGTGTGTGTAAGAGAGAGACAGAGGCAGAACCTAAATTGTGTTTTTTTCCAGTTTTGAATAACTTGGGTAGGGCTTTTAGTTATGACTTCCTCCACCACAGTGTTTGCACAGAGTGCAAGTGTGACAAACACCTGTCTTTGAAGTCCACGGAAGGGCAGGAGTGGGGCTTGTATATGAGGCACCAGCAAATGAGAGAGAACGATCTGGAAAGGGAATAGAGAGGGTCTGGGGCTGTGGGTGGTAGAGGAGATGAGGAGAATGTGCCAGGGTCTCATTCAGAGGGAAAGGCACGAGGGACTCTGTGCTCTCCTTACGGCTCCCCAGCCGGCACTGATTCAGGGTACAGCCAGCGAACCCGCACAGTTTTCTTCCAGGGCCTACAAAGATGGGTCAACACTGAGCAAATCAAATATATAAGGTTTATTTTTAAAGTTTTTCTTCCTTGATCCCAGCATTCTACAACTAATTTTGAAATCTATCTTCTCTATTGCAAACTTCCGGAGAGTTCTGTATTAAAAAAATTTTTTTAATTTATTCATTTTTGAGAGACAGAGCATGATGGGGGGGGGGCGAGAGAGGTGGGGGGAGGGGAATCCAAAGGAGGCTCTAGGCTCTGAGCTGCCAACACAGAGCCCAACGCAGGGCTTGAACTCATGGACTATGAGATCATGACCTGAGCCGAAGTCGCACACTTAACAGACTTAGCCACCCAGACACCCCGAGAGTTCTGTATTTACACCTTAATGTAGTCAAGAGAATGATGAATTGCATTTTTATCCCAGTTCACTTGAGGCAGGAAAATGAAGAGAAGGTTCTCTAAAACAGGGTGCTTATACAAAATATAGAGAAGAGGGACGAACTACTAGAAAAATGTAAAGTTTGTACTTAAATGTGTCTTCTTTCTTTTGGAGAGGAGGTCAGAACATAATAGTCACATCAGTAGCTGTTTTGAAAAGTGGGGCTGCATAAGTTATGAGAACAGCTGCAGAGATCTTTTTTTAAAAAAATCTGGCTAATAAGGCAAATAATACAGCTGATTGTCTTTAAATTATAGGAAGAGAATGTCATTATCATGCAGAACTGTATATTTTACGTGGGTCCTGAGGTTTAAGTTCATTTGCACAGAAGTGGAAAGTTTGCTTTGCATTATGGTCATTGATAACATGTGTTTAAAAATTTTGGAGCATAGGGGCGCCTAGATGGCTCAGTTGGTGGAGTATGCCATTCTTGATCTCAGCGTACTAAGTTCATAAGCTCAAGCCCCATGATGAGTGTAGAGATTACTTAAAAATAACATTAAATGAAAAATTTTGGAACATAATAATTGTTGGTTTCAAGAAACTTTCCACCTTTATTTATTTATTCTTCATTCATTCATTCATTTATATTTTACAGAGAGAGCAAGAGTGCACATGTAACCCAAGGAGGGGAGAGGGAGAGTCTTAAGCAGGCTCCATGCTCAGTGCAGAGCCCCACACGGGGCTTAATTGCACAACCCTGAGATCATGGCCAGAGCGGAAACCAAGAGTCGGATGCGGAACCGACTGAGCCACCCAGGTGCCTCTTATCTATCCTTATTTTTAAAACAATTATTTTCTTTTTGCTATTCAGCTTGTGTGCTTTCCACTGCCCAACAGAAGAATTCTTATTAAAATAAATAGATCCCATTAATAGACTTTTGCTTTGGGAAAGTATTTTCAAAATCTTCCACTGAAGATATTTAGACCATAGTCACTGTCTAACCTCAGTGGTTTTTGTTGTGTAGATGTAAAGAGAAAAAGTTAAACAGATACATCTTAGATTTCTGCTAGCTCTACATTATTTAGTGTTAAATAGATCATCTTTCTAAAAAATAATACTCCTAAGTTTTGTTTTTAAGTAAGGGGAAAGAAGGAGGCAAATTTTTGTAGCGAAATATCTTCACTTTAAAAATACTGCTACATTGTGGTGCCTGGGTGGCTCAATTGCTTGAGCGTCTGACTTTGGCTCAGGTCATGATCTCCTGGTTCCTGAGTTTGAGCCCTCCATTGGGCTCTCTGCTGTTAGGGCAGAGTTCACTTCGGATCCTCTATCTCACTCGCCCCCCCCCCCCCCCCCCCCCTGCTGGCACACTCTCTCTCTTTTGTTCTCTCTCTCAAAAATAAATAAACATTTTTTACAAGTATTGCTACATTGCGAGCCTTTTGAGACTCTGGAACAGTTTAACGAGAATCTCGGGACTTGCAGAGAGTGAGGGCGCAGGCACATCCATGATCACGTCTAAAGCACATGAGGGGAGGTGGGGCAGCCTTGTGTCGGTGGCACACGGTATGTGACAGCTTCAGTGTGCCATGGGCCACTCGTTGGAGGGCTGGTCATTGTCAGCATCTTCAGATCTCTGCCTTGGTAGGACAGCAGAAGTGAACTTTCTAAACACCTCTCACAAATCTGCTTGCTGTCTTTCACATTGTCATCCCACCCTATTTGAAAAGCTCCCACTGACCCTTCACACTGCCTCACATTCTCTTCAACAGCCCATCAAAACCACATTTCCCACACTCCTTCCTTGAATCCCAACCTGATGTAGAATTTTCCTCCACAAATGTTTATACCGGTATGACTCCTTTTATAACTGAGCAGATACTGCCTTGCCTGATGATGGTTTTGTTCAGGAATATACGTGTTTCATCTCCTCGACTTGAGTGTAAACTTCGGAGGGCAGGAACTGGCTGTTGATGCCCATTCTTCCACCTTCTTTCAGCACCTAGCCCGGGGCCAGGCCCAGCGTGCTGAGAGGTGGTGATGAAGCACGTGTACGCTGGACCTGATTTCCCGGATTTGCATGCTGACTGCTACTTCCTGATTGTAACATTTGGCAACCCGGAGGCAACCTAGCCTCTGTAAAATGGAAATCTTAACAGTATCTACCTCATAGGGTTATTGAGAAGATTCAGTGAGGGATGGTGTGACAAGTGCTTAGAACAGTACCTGGTGCACAGTAAGCATGATAGAAGCCTCAGTTACTGTTCTTATGCAGCAAACACCTGTAGGTGGAAGACTGGAGGCTCATAAAGAGGCCGGGAGACTGGAGGGACGGGATCCGGGCCTCCTGCCCCTTTCTCCATTCTCTCTTCATGGGCTGCAGGTGTCAGGCCTGCCTCAGCTCAGGCTCCTTCAGCCATTTGCTTGTTGTTAGAGGAGAATAGATGCAGACTGCTGTCACTGAGAGAGAATTCCAAGGTTCAAGCTGAAAGGATTTGGTGCCTGCACAGCAGAGGCAGGGGAAATACGTGGGGAGTTAAGGATGCCTTCCAGGTTTCCAGCTTGGAGGTCTAGGTTGACCGTGATGCTACTGACTGAGAACGGGATCCCAGAGGGGAACAGATCAGAGCGGCAGGTAAGGAGTTCAGTTAGGGACGTGCTGAGCTGGCAATGTCCAGGATGCATCTGGATGGAGCTGCCCAGTGGTAATAACAACAGATAACATGTGTCAGAAGAAGATTATGTTCCCCATCACTGTTCAAGCCCTTCACTGGTTCTAATGACTTGGTCTCACAACCACCCCATGAAAGAGGTACTCTTGTTATTCCCATTTAGCCACCACTTTACGCAGACCCTCTATCTGAGGTCTCAGAGGAAGGCAAGTCCGGGCATGTAGATGTGGTGAAGCCATTGCCATGATGGTACTGTTAGAAGGGAGACTGTAGAGTGAGGTGGGTGTGCACTGAAAGAAACGCATTTGCTGGTATAAGGGAACACCATCACGGAGAATATAGGACCACGGTAAGGTATGAGTGGGAGGAAAAGTCAAGTGAGAGCATAATACTTGGTGTGGACTGAATGTTTGTGTTGCTCCTCCAAATCCAGATGTTGAGCCCTAATCCCCCGTGGGAAGGTATTTGGAGATGTGGCCTTTGGGAGGTGGAGGTGGAATTAGTACCCTTATGAGAAGAGACGGGTGAGGGAAGATCCCTCAGCCATGAGGACACAGCAAGAAGGCGGCTGTGTTCAAACCAGGAAGGGGGCTCGCAGCAGAGCCCAACCACGCCGGCCCCCCTTCATAGATTTACAGTCTCCAGAACTGTGAGAAATAAATATTTGTTGTTGAGGCCAGCCAGTCTGATATTTTGTGACAGCCTGAGCTAACGAATACAACGCTCTTCTTAAAATCTCCAAGTAAAGGTTACAGGATTGATGACACAGTGATTTGATACATTTAGGTTGCCCATGTCAGTCCACAAGGTTTGTTTGAATTGCTTTCAAATCCTGTAAATTAATACTCTTGTGAGGTAAGTAGGTAGGAAGTGTTATTATTGAGGGTGCATAAGAAGAAATGAATATGGGAATAGAATCCTGGTTAGACACTCCCCACCAGGCATTTTATTTAATAAAGAACCCACTGAAAGAGGGTTTAGATGTCCTGGAGTTGGGTTAGTAATTTTCAATTAACTTTTAGGGTGGCATAGCCTGGTGCCTAAACAAAATGAAGTGGCTGCTAATGATTTATTTTGCACTCTACTTGCTGCCTTAATTATACCAAGAAGTTTAACTCTGTGTTT